CTATAGTAAAACGATTGAAATCCATTGATGAATTCCATTAAAACTATATACAACATTAAAGGATAAAAAGTAAAGAACATTAAAGGAGGAAAAATTGGGGAAAGAACAAAGAAGGAGAGATAGAGAGACTGAGAGAGAGAGAGAGGGGGGGAGAGAGATGGAGAGAGAGAGAAGCGAAGGAGAGAGAACATGGATGGGGAATAATTAATTCCTTATTCAATTCCTAATATAAAAGGATACTCATTTAAAATTAGTTTGTATATAATTGATAAATTATATATGGTCATGTAATTAAGCTAAAACTTGATTAGGAAAGGTAATAAAGTTTTACATATAGTATATGAAGGTAAATTTTTTTTTTTTTAAATCTAAGCGAATAAGTAAGGGTCAGTTTTAGCCCTTTTCTGTTCCTTAATAGTAAGTAAAATAGCCCAAATATTTGGGATTGCCTATCACTTAGGTGCCAAATAAAATAATCTAACTTATACAGTAGAAGCTGTTTTCTTTTGAATGAAGAAAGTGTGTGGAGGGTATACTTGTCAAGTGGACTAAAGGGTGACCTCTTTGAAAAGACAACAAATTAAAGGAGTATAGGGGTAAACCAAATTTAAAGAACCTATGAGGCAAGAAAATTAAGATGACGAGACAAAGTCATTCAAAAACCTGTCCGCAATTAATAAGAAACCAAAGGCAACTTATTTTTGCCACCCCAAATAAATATTACTAAAAAACATAAATTCAAGCAAGTAAAGAAAAGAATTGTCAAACCTAAATAGATGCCTATATATACCTCCCTTCACATATCTTTCTTCCCTCCCCTTAATTCTCTACTCTCTTCTCTACTAAGAAACAGAAGTACTCCATCTTTATTTATTTTCTTTTGTTTACTTGTACCATGGATGGCCCTTTGAGAAGAACTTCATTCTTGCAAATTCTTGTAACATTTTTTCTCCTTTTATTAGGTATGTAACTTAACAATTCTTTCTTTCCTTTCCAAGATAGTTTAAATTAGCTATTTCTTGATTAATACCATCATTATGATTAATTACTAAGATTGAATTATTATAACAGGTTTGAACATTATTAGAGAAGTAGATTCACTTGGGATTAATTATGGTCAAGTTGCAAACAACTTACCACCACCAGAAAAAGTCCTTCAACTTTTACATGCTCTCAAGATAACAAAGGCAAGAATTTATGACACAAATCCTCAAGTCTTGACAGCATTGGCCAACTCCAATATAGAGCTAATTGTGACAGTGGAAAATCAAATGCTAGCCACATTAGGTGACCAGCAACAAGCCCTTCAATGGGTAACTACTCATATTAGGCCATATTTTCCAGCCACAAACATCACAGGAATTGCGGTAGGGAACGAGATTTTCACAGATGAAGACACATCTTTAATGACATATCTTGTGCCAGCAATGGTTAACATTCATTCAGCGCTTATTAAAACAGGACTCAGCCAATACATTCAAGTCTCTTCCCCTAATTCACTAGCAGTTTTAGCAAACTCTTATCCACCTTCAGCTGGTAATTTTAGGAGTGATCTTAATGGGATTATGCAACAATTCTTGCAATTCTTGGTTACAACAAGAGCACCCTTTTGGATCAATGCATATCCTTATTTTGCCTATAAAGACAATCCCAACAAAATCTCCTTAGACTATGTGCTATTCAATTCCAATCAAGGGATGATTGATCCTTACACAAGACTACATTATGACAACATGTTGTATGCACAAGTGGATGCAGCCATATTTGCTATAGCAAGAATGGGATTTAATGGTTTAGAAGTTAAGATTTCTGAGACAGGTTGGCCATCTAAAGGTGACCCTAATGAAATTGGTGCAACCTTTCAAAATGCAGCTATTTACAATAGGAATATTTTGAGAAGGCAATTGCTTAATGAAGGTACCCCTTTGAGACCAAATGTTAGATTGGATATTTATGTGTTTGCTTTGTTCAATGAAGACCAAAAGCCAGGACCAACTTCTGAGAGGAATTATGGTTTGTTTCAACCTGATGGAACTATGGCTTATAATGTTGGGCTATTATCAACTACTTCTACAACAACTTCTTCAACTAATTCAGAGCCAGCATCAGCTTCCATTTTCCTTACTTCCTCTGCTCCCCCTATGGTAAAACTATAGATTTTTAATTAATAAGAATTGATCATATACGTTAGATGATTCTTATTATAAGGTTTAATGTGGTGTTCTTATTGCACATATTATTTTCAAACAGGTGAAACAAGTGAGATATCAAAGCTTGGCCAATTGGATGATGTTTGCGTATTTTTGCTGGCTTTGCAAGGGCTAATTAATGAGATGAAGACAACATTAAGGCTAAAATGGAGTACTTGACTGTAAATATATCGGCGTCAACTGAGACAATGACCTATTAGCCACCCCGGATGCATGTGCATGCGTCAAGAATGGACCTCACAGCGACTAATACAGAAAATTAGACACAAAGAGCTTTCATGTAAAAAAACAAAATTGAAAAAAGATCTAGTTTCTACTTTCTCGCTTCATAGAAAAAGTATATATATATAGTCGCTGTCATTTGTTGTATAATCGGGATTGATGATTCAAAGAATAAAGTAGCTGATCATTCTTTGCTAGGGAATTGACAAAATTCATTTTGTTATGATCTTATTGTGCAGAGGATATATTTACTTGAAATGGAAGGGGCTTATACAAACTTTTCTTTTTAACATTATATTGTAATGTAATACTGTATCTATAATAGTGTCATTGTTCAGATTATAAAGGTTACTGTATTTGGACGTGGACTCCACAATTATTCCTACATGTTTTTTTATTTTACATTGACACTACCCATTCAGATTCACATTGCATATGGCTATTTAACAGGAAAAACGCTGCGAACCAAGAATTAATTTCTTTCCAATCCAAACTTGGTTGATTAAGAATAAAGTAATCTCATTCCATCCACCATATCTCTGAATGGTAATATTGGTACATGTTGAATAAGAGATATTAGTTCTTTACTTCTTTCTAGCCCTTTTTTCCTTTGTCATGCATTTCTTTCTTGATATACGAATGTTTTAATTAAATATAATGCGACAAAAGGGCAAAGGATACCGTTGTTTTCTTTTTAAATTTTTAAATAATATAATCTTCTAGCTAGGCCAACCTTTATTCCATAAACCGTCAGCATAGTGTCTGCCATCCTTTTCTTAAAGGTGCATGCTTTAGACTTTCAATGTTGAAATATGAAACAAATTAGTAAACGTCTTTATGAATTTATATATCAAAATGTTCTTTTTTTATATAAAAGAATGGCCAGTACAAAACTTTGTGATTCATTTGATATCACCTAACATGATGCACATGAAACCCACCTCTAAAACAATCACAAAAGAAAGAAAAATAATAGGGAATCCAAAAATAAGAATCATTCTAAGGATCCACCTTCATCATTCGCCGAAAAAGGAAACATCTTTTGAAAATCTTAGTAAAATGCTGAAGTGATTCTATTACTAGGTAAAAAATAAATAAATACTAAGCTATAGAAAATGCATTCACTACTTGTTCATGTCCCGAAGTCAGAGCCAGGATTTGAAGTTACTGGATTCGAGATTCTAGTATTTTTATGTTACTGGATTCTAAAGTAAGAATATACTTATTCAATAAATTCTTTAAGACAAATATAAAGTTTGCACAAAAGTTACTGGATTCGCCAAAGCTCTTACCGAAGCTCTAGCTCCGCCCCTGTTCATATATGTATATTAGCCATCATGGTATGAGCTAACATAATGCACATGCCAACACTAGTCTTTACTCTAGTATTTTTTAAATTTGTTTTGATTTTTTTTTTAAGTCGAGGGTCTATTAAAAATAGTCTCTCTATCTCACACAATATAGGGTAAGGTCTACATATATTGTGTCTTCCCCAAACCCTACTTGTGGGATCAAAGTTGACGATTGGAGCAAAGTTATAACATGGCATTTTTTATCAACTCTGTATCATTCTAGCAGATACCAAGTAGAGGGCAACAAATGAGGTTGCTTTTTAGCAACCAAACAAAATAGTCATAGTCGGAAAGTTGCTTAAGACCCCATTTACACGTAGGTTATCATGTGCATTTGCCGTCTTTGGTGATGAGTTACTTATAGTAGCATTGTTTCCTCTTTGCAGAGTTGGCATATCAGGAGATCCTGTTTCTTATAGCATATGTCCACTTTTAGCTTTCAAATCATGTCTAACGGTTCAAGAAATTCTTAGGTGCATGTTCTTTGCATATTCCTTGGAACTTGAATAGTTAAACCTTGTCTTCGAAGATTCTACATCTGGTAGCTTTTATTTGTATTTAATTTATTTTATTTTCCTAAGGGAAGGTGCAATGGAGAAGAAGCGGGGCTTCGAATTCATTATTAATTATTTTTTAATACCCATCAATATTAAATAAAGTTACCGTTTAGTTAATTTAAATTGTGTGAACATTTTTTGTACAATCAATACATATAACCTCAACTTAATAAGAGGATCAAGGGGCACCCCTTACGGCAGTCTCCCTAGCCNCTCGTTATCTTTCTATATTCAGGCTATTCTTTGTATGTTTGTGTTCATCCACATTTTCTGTACATACTTTGTATAAATTATACAGTATTTTGTAAAAAGAAACTGCGAAGTCCTGTGTGGGAAAAAAAAATAACCTGTGCAAGTGAAAGTTATAATAATTGGGTGGTGAGTGAGTTAAAACCATCCACCACAATGTGGTATCTTGAGTGAGTTAAAACCATCTAGTGCTCGAGTAAAAACCATATATTCGTAGTGACTGTCAAAATCACTCGTTTCTTGTGTGCAAGTAAAACAAGATTTGGACAATACTCAACTTTTGAGATCGAACCAGAACAAAATGTCATAAGTCATTTCTATCTCACTGTTGCTTTTCATTTGTTAAATTTAGCATTTAATTATTTATCTCTGGACATCCTCAACCGAGAGAGAGAGAGAGAAGGAAAGCCAAAATGAAAATTGAGCAGACTACTTTTATTGGAGAGGGATGTACCGAAGCTAAATGCACAAAGTACCACATAGTCATACATTTCACAAAAACGACAAGTTCACAAATTAACATCTGCGCTGGCGTACTGCTGACTAGCTCAGGAAAACAGTAAAGGAATAATAAAGAACGGAAGAGGATAGAGCTGGTGCCTTCACTGGAGCACTTGGCTGCCATAATCTGAGTTGAACTTGTCATACCTCGGCGCATGAAGGTGTGCAGATGGTCTAGTGTTCTTCAATGCCATCTCAATATCTCTCACAGTTATTGGTCCAACGTTGGGCAACTCTGCACATTGATACAAGAATTCAGTACAAAGGAATGAAACACACCTAAAGAAGTACCTCAATAAAATTCTTCACACACAAGTACTAGGCACAAGAGTGTTTCTACTGGTATACATTAATTCAGGTATTAGAATCATGCCGAGTTCTTGTAACTAGAACAGGTAAAGATTTGTAATGAAATACACATACACGACGCATGTGTATCAAGTTTCATTCTAACAGCATTTAACTTTCATCAACTTCTCTAGGTAGTTTGATGAAAGCAGTAATTCATGGGAAAGACGCAAATCTTACAGCTTAAAACCGGAATTTGTTGGAAGACACATTAACAGACATTATTGTCATAATTAAAATATCAATATAAACCAACAGTATGCATGTGGCAGATTGACAAATAATCGAGTCGCCTGGTAGGATGTGATAGAAAAGAGGGCTATAATATAGCAAGCATATACCCAATTGCCGCAGTAGAAAACCAGAAACACTGAGCCCCTTATATCCCGACATATAATTATTACCCCGTCCAACCCAACAAGGTAGTGGATAAAATATGGCATACCATCCTCAGGCACCACTTCTTCTTTCTCTTCAAGTTTTGCCATTAAACGTCTTAATGGTTGCATGGCAGCCTCCTTGCACAACAGCCGAATATCAGAACCGGAAAAACCTTCTGTCTTTTCTACCAATAAATCATATGGAAGTGGCTCCTCTTCAGGCAGTGATGGTAGTAATTCCTCAAACATGGCGCACCTTGCTTCTGGCTCCGGAAGGGGCACGAGGATCTGCGGTTACAGTCAGAAGGCGAACTAAATAGTTACAAGCATGACTTATAACCTCAGGTGTGGATTATACTAGTGAATGAAACCAGACTAAGCCTGAGTGCATTCTCTTCTTTTCCTCCTTTGTTCAGCCAAGTCTTCTATTACTCACTCAAGCAAATATTAAACATGTAAAAAGGTAATCAAAAGTTCCCCTACCCAGCCATCCCCAGGCCCTTAAAAATAAGAAAAAGAGGGAAATTACTATAAAAATCCGATATGCAATAAATCAACTAAAAGACAAAAGATCATTCAACAACCAGACCTGCAACAGAAAAGCATTTATGGGAATCAAACCATGAAACTCTTAAGCTAAAGCCTCAAACCCCTATTTTACTGTCTGGAGTAATACTTTTTGGCTTCAAATTTCACATGCTTTTACATGGCTAAAAAGTCTGCATCCACTAAAACTATTAAATGTTTGACATGATTTACTTGGAGATACTGACAAAGAAATAGATCATCGCGAAGCTAAACATAACAAAAAATAAAATATACTTTTGTTCTAATTCATTTCTTTCTAGCAAATAGTCGTATTATCAAGCAAAGTATGTTTCAAGGCCACATGAAAGACTACCCGCTTCTCAAGACGACGAAGCATTGCTGCATCCAGTTCCCAGGGAAGATTTGTTGCTGCCAGAACAAATACAAGTTCATCTGTCCGATTCAAACCGTCCATCTGCAGTTTATTTCAACCATTACCTAGCGAAATAGTTCAGATAAAACCGTACTAAATGTCTTCATTAATATCAAAGAGAAGAAACAGCAAGATCTGATATAAAGCAAACTATACAAGTAAAAGGCTTGCTTTTATCTTTACCATTTACCTGGTGCTGCATGATTATTAGCTAACCCTAAAAAGATGGGTCAAAAACATTTCCTTCATTTTTACTTAAATGGCATAAAGTTTACAATCCTATCCAGTGTCAAGTGACCTTTCTTTAAGTTCCAATGGTTACCATAGTCACTCTACGTACTTCTCACGGACTGTACAACAGCACACAATTCAAATTTGACAGAGCATGTGATAACCTAACGAAAAGCGGTTTGAAAAATCTCTAGAATAACAACAATATCAGGAAAAAAGAAAATTCCAGATTCCAACTATTACGCTTAGTAGCTCAGAAGGTGCTAACCAGCAGAAATTCTGTGAACTTGCAGAAATTCATTGTCTCGTTTATTTTTCACTGAGGAAGTACTTTGCCATACTGCCTCAAGTGCTTCAATCTCCCCAACCCACCCAACATGAGACCACAAAAAGGGATGCGCGAGAAGAAAAAGAAAGATACAGAGAATAAAATGACCATCATTCCCTGGGGCAGTAATTGGCTTTTGACTTATTAATTGCATTGCAGTGCAAAAACATAGCTTTTCACATGTCATACATACACTTCTAAATATCAAGCTTCACCTGTATGAGCAGTTCTGTTTTTAAACGCCTACTAGATTCATGTTCACTACGTGCTTCCCCACGTTGACTGATAATTGCATCAATTTCATCTAGAAAGATAGTTGAAGGTGCATGATGCCTGGCGAGCTCGAATAACACTTTTATCAATTTCTCAGAATCACCTGTATCACACAAGAAACTTCTAAAGAGTACACAACGCATTAATTGAAGAACTATTCTCAACTAATGTATCTAATACTTTATTCATCTGATAGCTGATGAGATACACTGGAATGATCTCGTTTGAGTTAGATGATTTAAATGCTATAATGTTCTTTCACATTGTAATAAAAAAGACAGAAATCATAACTGCTGATATGTTCAAAAAAGCTGAACCCCATAAACCGTTGCTTAATAAGTCAGCCACATTAGGTGCTAGCTTCCCTCAAAGTTGATAACACACAAAAGAGCTGTCTCGAACTCAGTGAAGACAAATAGAACGACATACCGCAGTAAAAATTGCATAACAAGTAACAACTCATAACATGCATTTGGTATTTACCACACACAGTTGATATATATGATATTTCCTTAGCTCCTGTGACCCAGGTTGACTTGCCTTAGCGTAGAAATTTCTAAAATCATGAGATATTACAATATTACATCGTTCCATCAGATTGCTTGAAAAAATACAGGCCAACTTTAAGGGCAAGAAATAGATTAAGCTGAAACAACAGATAATATTAGAGTGTGATATATCATAAACCTTCAGCGAACAAACCCGGACCCTATAGGTCACGGGTTGAGCCATGGGAGCAGCTACTAATGCTTGTATTAGGGTAGGCTGTTTACATCACACCCCTAGTGGTGTTGCCCTTCCCGGATCCTGCGTGAATGCAGGATGCTTTGTGCACCTGGCTGCCCTTTCTTTTTCTTCGGCGAACAAACCAAGCTACAATGTGCGACTTCACTTCAAATTGGATGGTGTCTACTTTTGGTTGTCTAACATCATTGAATATCCATCAATAGGATGGTGCTATCAGTCATTCGAAATATATCTCTTAATATCATACAAGTTTGGAGTCAGTTTCCTTTTTTAGAAGAAAATGTTTGACTCGATATCCGCTTCTAACTGTAATCATCATAGCTTTGCCAAATGAATTAAAACCCTCAAACTGATAAGTAGGAAAGACCATTTTAGTAGATTGCAGAGGAAATCATACCACGCCATTTGCTGACAACTGACGATGCTGAGATATTGAAAAATGTGGTATTGCATTCGGTTGCAACTGCCTTCGCAAGCATCGTCTACAAATTAACAGAGTAGAAGTTTTAACAAGATAAATAGATATTTCCTCTCATATCAAGATATTAAGCTTTATGTATAAAGAAAAGAAATGTCAGGATGCAGAATTCCAATAACATGAATATGAAACTGGACAGATCACCAATAGAAGTACCAATGGAAGGAAATCAATGGGAGAGTTTTATATACAGAGCTGACGGCTAAAGCACAAAAAAATAAGGAGAAGGATACAACGTATGAATGAAAAATAACCTTTTGCACAGAAGAAAAACATGAGTACAAACCTTTCCTGTTCCTGGAGGGCCAAAAAGGAGGATACCTTTCCATGGAGTTAGAAGACCTTTAAAGTACCTAGGTGAGAGAGAAAAAGTAGATCTTGGTTCAGTAATGAGAACTTCATGTTTGCTCAAAAAGGAGTTCATGAAAAATTACAAGTAAAACGTCAGAAGATATATTGGATTGGATATTTGACACTAAATCTTACGTTCATTAGCTTGCACCCCAAGAATACAAAAAAAAAAAAAAAAAAAAAAACTACGTTCCAAATCCTAAGGCTTAAACCTCCNAAAAAAAAAAAAGTTAATAATGGAGAAGTCCACTAGGACCAGTTGCACAACAGTACAAAGATTATAACCTCTCTATTCAACTTGTTAGACAAGCAGCACATAACCAAGTATTGTAACCTACTTTGGATATTTAATCGGCATGACAACTGCTTCTTTTAGTAGACGCTTGGCAGTCTCTAATCCTTTAATGCTCTCCCACTTTACATCTGGATTACCACGAAGAATATCCCTGGAAATGTAAAACAGAAGAAATTAGCAAAACTAGTTTCCAATCCTAACAACGAAAGTGTGTGAGGGACATAGAAAACCAGGTTCAGTAACAGCAATAGCACATAGTGTTCAGGTCATTTTGTCGTGACCTACCTGCTTAAACTTTCTCCTAAAGCACGCATTTCTGCAGACTCAAAAGGGGGAAGTAGAGATCTTTGCCTGAAAAATGAACATTAAACTTTACTAAACTTCTTCAGGAAGAATTACCCCCAAAAAAAGAACTTCTTCAGGAAGAGGAAGTAAAGCTCTGGTAGCTGAAAGTTGTTAATATATATGAGTATCAAATGTTTGTTAGAATGCCAATATCTCTGAGCGATCAAACACAAAATTTAAGGTCACTAGTTGCTGTGTCATACGGTTTTCCAACTACTCCGACAGACTGAACTCCATTAACTCCATTAGAGTGTGCTGCACCTCCATTAGCCTAAATCAGAAGAAAAGATTAAGCATGCAGATTGTCAATAGGATTTATGATCATCTTATTCATCATCGGCAATACCTGATTATATTGCTCGTAAATGGACAATTCTGCAGTGTTCCGCACATGTCCATTTCCATTTGCAGTCACAGTCGAAGAATTTCCATTTTGTACGGCATCACCATTCTCAGTTGCAGGAGCCTTCTTCCTCCCAAACTTCATATCATAAAACAACTTAAAATCCTAAATACGGACACCAAAAACAAGTATTGTATATAAATACTCAATGTCCCTAATCTTGATTTATTCATTTCATCAAGAGACACATCCAACTTATGATTCATTCAGCAATTTGCAACTCCTGTGAACAGAAGTAACAATGTGGTTTAACAAACTATTCATGTTTACTCTGTTTCCCCTTCAATTTCCTTTAATTAACTGTAGAACTTTAAAAAACTCAGCCATTAACTACTGATTGTGTGTCTTCTTTTCTGCTCAGTTCCAATTTCTTTGGAAGACAATATTATGACACAAAATGAGAATAAGATTAAAAGCTAAACCATCCAACTTAATTGGAAAAGTCTTTGCCTACTTCCTCATCTATTCAAATTCGAATTTTTCTCGGAAGTTAGCACAAAGTTAACAATTATCTATACATGAAGGAATCTATTCAAGGTCAAGCCCATTTGAAATTCTCTCTTTTATTTTCAGCATTAACAAAACAAGTCACTCTTTTTCAACTTCAATAACACTTGTGTCTACTTATCCAACAATTCATCACTTTGCAGCTTGTTATTATTCAGTTCCTTGTTGCTAGGAAGACTATACTTTTGTGTCTTTTGATAGAGAGCAACTAGTCAAATCAAAACCTGAGCAGTGCAAACATCACATACAATCAAAACAATGTCATATATAACCTATTAATTTTAACATTTAGTCACTAATTAAAGGGGATTGCCTAAGGACTACATCTCAGTCTCCTTTCACATTTTTTTGGAAGAACAAGAGCCAAATTTAGGTAAGAAACATCCAAATCAAGGCCGAAAAAGGTAAAAACATTATTAAGCAATCTAAATCTAACATCAGAACAATCTTTCCTGTCAGAGATTTCCTAAATTAACACAGAACATTAAAATAATGTCAAGCATAGTCTACACTAAACTTCACTTTGAATTAAAGTCGAGATTTCACAAAATAAATCAGAAAATATTCTATTGTAATTATTCAAAAAAAAAAAAATCAAGTCAACAAACCAGAAAAATCCCTTCCTTTTATGCCCTCAACCATCATCACATGCATGAATCAGTACAATGTGTCGCGCACAAAAACTGTATATTTGCCATAGAAGAAAAACTAAGAAATCTTTAAAATAATAAAGAGAAGGAATAAAAACTAGAAATATAGCTGAAAATGAAGCAAAATTAAATTTTAAGAAAATCTCAAACTAACACAAAAATATCTCTTCCTTTGTCAGTCATTGCATGAATCAGTAATACATTAAGCTCATACAGTCCTTCAAAAGTCAAAATTTCACTTTAAACTCCAAATTTCACCAGAAAAGTACCTCTAATTTCAGCAAAGTCGGCATTTCGAAATCAAAATAAGAAGATAAAGTAAATATGAAATTCTAAAATCAAAGCCAAAAATGCAAGAATCGATCAAAAATGTCAATTTCGTAACAACACAAAATCTCTTCATGTTTCGATACTTCAATCATTACCACGTGCATGTATACAGAAAATGTACATCACACACAGATCATTTAAACTTAGCTCGATAATCAAAAATAAACCGGAAAAAAACATAGAAATTCAAAAATTACATCAAAATTCAACAAAAAGAAGCTGTATTTTCAAATGAGGCCTTGGAAGATTAAATTTAATTACCGGGAAGGACCAGCGAGTCAACGCAGGTTCGTCCGCCATTTGATTCAAACTCCGGGAGAGAGGTGGAATGAGAGAGAGAGAGAGAGAGAGAGAGAGAGAGAGATGTATAGCTCCCTCTCTTTCTCCGTCACACACGAAAAAGATGCATTTATAGGAAGTCAAGTGATTGTGAGCACTGTTTACTGTACAGC